CCCCCCCCCCGCTGGCTGTAAAAACACGCAGAGGAACTCTGTTACTAAGACCATGGAAGTGCTTGTAGAGCGACAGCAGCATGGGGTTAGGGGACCCTTACTTGTCCCCGCCCAGGATCAAGGCCGTCTTGAGGCCGGTGAACTTGCCCAGCTGTGGAGAAAGGGAGAAAGAGGCACTGGGGGAGGGGGAGGCTGGCTGAGGCGGTCTGCCCATAGCTCCTAGCCGGCCCCAGCTGTACCCCCAGGTATACGCCCAGCACCCCAACATACCTCCTTAGTGAACTTCATAGTCTGCAGCGCCAGCTCCCGGGTGGGTGAGAGGATTAAGGCCCGGGCCCCTGTCTGGGCACTGTGGGCCTTGAGCCGCTCAAACATGGGGAGGAGAAAGCAGGCGGTCTTGCCGCTGCCCGTCCGAGCCATTGCCACCACGTCCTTCCCATCCAGGATCACCGGGATGGTCTGCAGGACACCGGTGGGGGTGCTGTCAGGGTCTGCCCAGATCCCCGGGCCCTCCCAGCCTCTCCTTTTCCCCTGCCCCAGCCCTCTGGTCCCTCCCAGCCCCTCACCTTCCGCTGGATGGGTGTGGGCACCTTGTAGCCCTTCTTCATGACGCCCTTGAACACGGGGTAGCTCAGGCCTGGGACACAAGGCGGCACGGGAAATGTTACACGACAAAGACCATATGGTCAATGAACAATGGGGAGAACAGATAGAGACAGGGCAGAAACTACGAGATTAAATAAGATGGTGGGGGTTTACACAGGGTGGGGCTCGGACCTTCTTTGGATTCTGGCTGGGACATTCTTCTTCACCTGTTGCTTTGGGACAGAGTCACATGTTTGTCTTACATTTTCCCAATATCCTCCCCAGTGCTGGGCTTATATTCAGGCACCACCACGCCTCCCCCTCCTCTTCTTTTCTAAGGTTGTGTTCACCTTGTTGCTTTAATACTCTGGTGGGCAGAGCTCATCAGTTTCCTAATTCCTCACGGTCTCAATCCCTGCTCCAGCAGCTGCTGCTGTGTTTAGAGCAGTTTCCTTTCCTGCTAGCAGGTGTTCTGGCCTTCTCCTTCCTCCTCTGAAAAGCTGTATTGCCAGGTAGTAAGCCCTCCTTGTCTCTGCTTCCATTTGTTCCCCTGGCCTCAGGCCTGCGACCTGCCCCCAAACACACTAAAAGGTCTCGACTGATTAGAGACCAAACTTATACCACAATGCTGAGCCCAGGGCAGACATCCTTAATCAAGTGCAGAGAACATAATAACCTCCTGATGTTGCTGTCCAAATCCCAGAACAGACATTAGTAACCAAGTGCAGAGATCAGGATGACCTCCTGTTGCCCCAAAGCCCTAGAGGCCCAGCTCCCTTACCCACCCATGGACTGGAAGCCTCCAGACTTCTTCTTCTTCTTGTTCTGGGCTCGCACCATCTCCCGGGTATCGGGCTCCACGTCTGAGGTACACTCGGAAGCGGGGAAGGCAGGCAGTGCTCTGTCAGGGCCATACTGGAAGTGAAGGACAGAGAAGACACCAACATTGAGCACCTTTGGGGAGGGGTCTGTCCTCTTGTCCTCCTGTCTCCCCAAGGGATCACACAGCTTCTCTGTCAACAGCTTCCTGGATTGGGCTGGGCTGGGGCCGAGGTGCAGAGTGGGCTCTTCAAATAGACAGCATGCTCAGGATCCCAACTTTGCTGGGTTCAAGCTGCAAGGCCTCAGGTAAGAGCCTGGGCCCCCCACAGGCCTCTGCTCCAAGAGTTCAGGACTCAGAAAGCAGCCTCTCCCTCTAGCCTTTGGTTCTGAGTTCTGCAAACATGATCCTTGAGCCCAGCTCAAGGTGCGCTGGCAGACTCTGTAGTTAAGCATTTCATTTCACTTCATTGTATCTACGCTGACTTTCCACTCTCCTTTCTACCTTTTGACTTTTCTGTTCCTTTCCCATTTTGGACTTCAATTTGCCTCACTATTTCAACTGTCTCCTCCAAGATTCTAATCTTTTTCTATATAAAAACTGCTATCAAGAGAAAAAAATGCTAGCCACAAACAGCTATAAAGTGAGATTTATATACAAGCAAATGTCAGATATTTACTAGTGAGAGCCAAATGCAAGTACTGGTTACCAGCACTAAATAAGTAAATAGATACAAAACAAAAACACCTCCTGGGGCTGGAGGAACAGCACTCAGCAGAGTGTATGCTTGGTGCTGCATGCCAGGCTTGGGTTCAATCCACAACAGCCTCCCCCAAAAAATCTGTGTTTAGGTATGGTGCTTTCTTCTGTAGAATTCTAGAATAACCAGAAACTTCTTCTTATGTTCATCTTTCTTGAGCTGCACTGGATACATAAAGTGTTGAACATCCTGAAAAGTTCAGTTTATGCTTTTTATTTTTCTTTACCGGTCCTGGGGCTTGAACTCTGGGCCTGGGCGCTGTCCCTGAGCCTCTTTGTTTGCAGGCTAGCACTCTACCACTTGAGCCACAGAGCCACTTCTGGCTTTTTCTGAGTAGTTTATTGGAGATAAGAGTTTCATGGGCTTTCTTTCTAGGCTGACTTCAAATCCTGATCCTCAGATCTCAGCCTCCTGAGTAGCTAGGATTACAGGTGTGAGCCACGGGCGCCCAGCCCGGCTTATACTTCTTATGCTAGATGTTTTTGAGACAGACGGCATTTTCTGCTACGACGAAGCCAGGCTGGCTTTGGACTTGTGATCCCCGTTTCACTGAGTGCTGGGATTACAGGGATGAGCTGCCACGCCTGGCTTAGTTTATAACCCAATCTGAGATGGCAGGATTTCCCATGTAAGGTAATGACTGGCAGGCAAAAGTTGTGAATTCAACTTGTATAGACCTTTTCTTCTTTCACACAGACGGTCTCTGCTTTTCTGCTGGCTACTGCCAGGATGTAAGAGGCAAGGCGCAGTTACATCTACGGTATACCCTAGCATCTGAAATCATCCCGGCTCAGTCCTGGTGTTGGCAGATGACAAAGCCACTCTCCACCATCACTTGCTCAGATGGTAGGTCTGAACTGCCAGGAAGGGAGAAGCCAGGGGAGGGGGCACAGAGCTCAGTTCCATTTGTGGGCAGATACTCGGAAGCACATGGCTTGGGATATGGGAGGACCAGGTCTCAAATACTGCACCCAAGAACTAAGGCTGCAGGGACCAACAGCCTGGAAGCGCTGGGGAACCTCCAGCCTGCCTCTCAATGGTGAACACACCCTTAAAACCAAAGCTTAGCGGGTGGCCCAAGCCTGTGATCCTAGCTACCCACGAGGCTGAGATCTGAGGACTGTGGGTTGAAGCCAGCCCAGGCAGGAAAGTCCATGAGACTTTTGTTTTGTTTTTGCTGGTCCTGGGGCTTGAACTCAGGGCCTGGGTGCTGGCTGCACTGTCCCTGAACCTCTTTGTGCTCAAGGCTAGCACTTGGACCACAGCGCCACTTGCGGCTTTTTGGAGTAATTCACTATTGGAGATAATAGTCTCACAGGGACTTTTCTGCCCGGCCTAGCTTAGAACCATGATCTCAGATCTCAGCCTCCTGAGCAGCTAGGATTACAGGCGTGAGCCTCCTCTGCCCAGCTACCATGAGACTCTTATCTCCAAAGAACCACCAAAAAGCTGGAAGTGGAGCTGTGGCTCAAATGGGAGAGCATCAGCCGCGAGCTAAAAAGCCAAGGGACAGCTTTTAGGCCCTGAGTTCAAGCACACACAAGAAAGAAAGAAAGGCAGAAAGCAAGCAAGCATGCAAGCAAGTCTAGCGACTGCTTCCCATCTCACAGCCAGTGCTGTGAGATTTATACCTCTCCTATGAAAGCTCCTTCCTGCCTACCCTAAGCTCTTCATCATCCCCAAGTACTGCATCCCTACTGAGGGGCAGGGCACTGGAGAGGGCGGCTGAGGAGGGAAGCCTCCTCGGCTCCCTGCCTTGAGGTGCCCTGTCTTCACATAATGCTCACTTACTCATCTCCAGACTTGGTCTATCTGTTCCAGGGCCTGAGCTGCAGCCCTTCTGCCAACTTGATGCCTCCAGTTTCCTCCCATTTGCATACAGTCGGCACTCCATAGTGCAAATGGCACAGGTTGTCCCCACTGTGAGGTCTTGGGTAAGTTTCTTAACCACCCCCAGGACTCAGTTTCCCTTCTGCTAATGGGGGTAACAGAATTACCCAGGCTACAGAGTTTTTCTAAGAACCACATGATAAACTTGTACAGGTGGAGACCTAGCAGACAGTCGACATTTTCAGGCTTGTTGTTAAACTTCCAGGGGGTGGGGGGTGGGGTACGCTGGCCTCAAACTCCAACTCTCAACACAGCCTCAAACTCTCAAAAGTCAGACCTGTCGCACCCGCACTTTTCATTGGCTGGCTGGTAACTGGGCTCCGCCCCCTGGGCGAAGACAGCCAATGAGGGCGCGTGGACAAAACTGACAGAAGAGCCGCAGGCCGAGCGCCCCAACCCCGGACCCGGGAGGGATGGGCCTCGAGACACGTGCGCGGGCGGCGGGCCG